GTGGTTGTGTTTGAAGGATCCTGAAGACGAAGGTAAACTCTATCCGGTATTGGTGTGGATTCATGGTGGTTCTTTTCTGGCTGGATCTGGCGATACTGGAATTGATATGGAGGTAGTCGCCAAGAACTTCATCTTCAATGGAGTTGCGCTCGTAACGCTCAACTATCGACTTGGACCACTCGGTTTGCTTCTCAAATAAATCGAGTTTGTAATTTTTTCCCGAACTGATTGAATATGATCCAGTTCTGTTCTGCGATGCGATCCCAACGTAAACGATAAACGGACACGTTCACTGTTGTAGGGAACAAAATTAAGGAGCATTCAAATCTGTAAATTTTATCCGCTGAAGCTTACTTTTTATCAAGCATATTTAAATTACGCCATAAAATAGTCCATGTTTTTTTTGTGAAAAAAACCAGATTTGAATCGACACTTTTTCAGTGCTCATAATCATTTCCTCTGTTACCGTAAGATTGCTTCCTTCCTTGAATCTGACACTCGCGTAATGAGGAGGCTTATGGTAATGTGTGATAAAAAATGAGTGAATTTGGGTAATCTACACAGTGCAAAAGGGCTGATTCAAGGGGGTATCAAAAAGGAAGTTCACCATAATTTATAAACGTCTCACGGCTGCAACAATGCAAAAGGGGTGTAATCAAACTTCAATGGCTCCAATTAGACCTGGTTTCAGGCGTATGATTAGGTTCAGTCTTCGAAAGAGCTAAAAAATGTTCTCATATATTGCGGCACTCATTCGAGTTTCACAAATAGCCGTAATCTGTAATATCAATGAGAAATTTTCTCATGTGATTTGATCTCATCTGAACGCACTTAATGACCCGATAATGGCACACGCAAGCCTATAGTACGATAGCCTACATTTTTGCGCTCCACATCAATTGTTTAAGAATGGAATGAACTATGCCAGTAACATTTATCAGAGATTTCTGGATTATCCAGTGATGATAAAGAGTTGAATGAGAGCATCTGCTATGTTCGGATGTGCGCAGCTAGCAGTTCATGCTATACATTGACGATGATTATGATGCATGAGAGCAATTGTGATTTGAAAATGATGCCTTCGAACTATGGATTATACATGAACAAATGCAGTGAACAGTCTGTGTGGGCAAATTTCTCATCCGGAACACTAAGGGTTTCAATTATCAGGTTATGTTTTCTAAGAAAAACTAAAACGACTGATAATTGGTTATTAAAGGTTTCTTGAACTGGCAAGTCG